TATATATATATATATATTGATCTACTTACCTTAAGGGAGTGTTTTAGTACATGTTAAGTTTCTTTATGTCCAAGAATCATAATTCATGGAAATACTAAATCCTTGGAGTCATGATTTCAAGGAATGATAAAAATTTGTTTGGTTAGCAATAAATATATACTTGTTGTCTTTCTTCAATTCTTTATGAGAATTTGTTACTTAGAAGATGATGCTTTTGAGTGTTTTAAAAACTTAGTTACTTCAAAGTCTGCTTTTGAGAAGTTTAGAGTAAAATTGTGCTTCTAAGTGAGTAAAACTTAGTCTTTCCTTTAGAACTTTTTTTAATCAAATATTGAGATGGTAATAAAACATATAGTTCAAATATATATTGTAATAAACAATTACAGTTAAAACTTCTTCCTTAACAACTGCAATCTACTAAGACTTCTTCCTTAACAATACCTGTTGGGGCACCTACACTCACAACCACCTACTATAAGTTTACTCAACCAACTGGTTGAATCTCTTTAATCCTTCCTACACCTTTGAACACCAAATTTGGGTAAGGAAGGCTTTTTACATAATCAATTTTTTGTGTATCTAGCAAAAACTATGGTTACAACAATCTCTCCTTAACTAGGAACTTTTGCTAAGGAAGTTTTTCACTTCTTTTTCTATTACGAAAGTGTTTAAAAAGTAGAAGTGGAGATCTCTAAACATAGAGTATGAAGTAAGGATTAAAACTATGGAAGCTTGTATTTTGATGACTTTCTTTGATCTTGCTTACTTCAAATTTGTAGCATTGGTCTTCATTTCATAGCCTTTGGAATATGGTCATTATGGGTAGCTTAGTTTTAAGTAGTGTTGACATCAACTTGTATTTTCATTAATGTAGTCAGTAAATTTCTCAAAAGTAGTTTACTTTTGAATCTTCCTTTTTGAACAATCTTATGAGTTTCCTTCTGAACATCCTTTTGAGAAATCTTCTAAATAAAGTCTTCAATACCAGTCTTCTAAAAAGCTAAGCTTGAACTAAAACTTCTTGATGAAGGGTTCAAAGAATTGGACCTCTAAACTAAGTCTTTGAGGCATCTTCCTTGAGAGAAAATATCTAACTTGAACCCTTTTGATCAACGATCTTTGTATGCTCATAGAACAACTAAGACCATAGTACTATATGTCAGCTCAAGCAATTTAGTTGCTTTTTATTGATGTTTTTGGGCTGAAATATCCTTAAAGCTTCTGAGTACTAATCAAAGTAAATATGAAACACTTGAACAAATCTGTTAGTATCCACAATAATACTCCTCATGGTTAAAACTTGAAACTAAAAGTTTGTCATTATTAAAACATATATTAAGGCGGGATTCAACAACATGGAAATCAAATATTTTTACTGCATTAAATAATCAAATAAAGAAATAATGATTTTTTTACCACATTTAAACTTTATTTTTAACTTAGGAATGCTAGTTTCCACCTCCACCATAAAAACAATTCCATGGGAAACCTGTGTAAAAACCACCCCTAATAAACAATGTTTTCTAGAAATGTTATTTTTAAAATAACAAATCAAACATGAAAAACTAAGGGGTTGATAAGTTTATGAAAACATTTTCTATATTCTATTTCTATTTTCTAAAAATAATTTTCATTTTCAAATTTATAAGACAATAGTCATAATGGTGGCGAGAAGGTATGTCAAATAAATTGATACTTGTGTCATAAGTAATGTTTGAATATCTTTTTTGATCGAACACAAGTATGAATAGTATTATAGGTAATATCCAATTTATTAAATCAAGTACAGGGGGATGAAAACGAGTTGGATGGATTAAGAAGAGATGTTATCAACCACTTGTTTGCAACCCAGTTTTGGTAACCCAAGTCATTCAACAAGTTAGGCTAAATTATACATTTTGTTCCTTTTTTTATTTTTTAGATTCAATTTGATCCTACTATTTTTAAATAGTTCAATTAGTCCTCTAATTTTTAGAAAATGTTTAATGTTTCTCTTCTATCTATATTGACACTAACAACAGTAATAAAATTGGATGAAAGGATAATATTAGATATTTTTTTAAAAAAAATTAAAGGATCAAATTCAACATTATAAAAATAGGGAGACCAAATTAAATAATAATTTATCTAACATTTTTTGTCTAAATAAATTTAATTTTTTTTACCTATTTAATATTTTTTTTCCTATTTTGTTAATGATTATTCAATTTGGTCACTCTATTTTTAAAATGTTTAATTTAGTCTCCTATTTTTAAAATGTTCAATTTGGTCCTCTAATTTTTTTAAAATATTCAATATTATCTGTTTGTCTAATTTTATTGATATTGTAAGTGTCGATTTAGATGGAAGTATATCATTGAATATTTTTTAAAAATTAAAAATCTAAATTAAATAATATAAAATTAGAAGATGAGATTGAATTTTAAAAATAAATAAAATAAACAAATAATGCTTGAATTTATGAAATGTTTCATCCAACACAACATTAATGGTGTGTTTGGACGAAGGATTTTACAAATTTAAGGAATTTAAAATTCTTGGTATTTGAATTACTTTGATTTCACTTTCTATCATTTTAAAAATATTTTGTTTAGATAAGTCAATTACAAATTTTTTAAATTTTAAAATTTTAGTTTAGTTATGGTAATTTGATTCCATCATGGTAAAATTGATTTTAAAAATATATTCATATGTTGAGATTTTTAAATTAAATTTTATAAAAATAAATACTAACAAATTTTAAAATATTTAATAATTTTAAAAATTAATATTAGATAATATTTAATCATTTTAAAAATATTTTTGAATATTCAATAATTAAAAGAATGAAAAGATAAGAGATAAGATAAAATATATGAGTGAAATAAGAAAAATAAATATGAGAAATTTTCAAATTCTTAATTTTTTGGGAGAATTTAAAGTTATACTATTTTAAAAATTTTCACAAATTCTTAAATTTTAAATTCTTTATAAATTTTCTATCCAAATAAAACATTTCATTTTAAAAATTTAAAATTCTTCAAATAAATAAATTATTTTATTTAAATTTCACATCCAAACACACTTTTCGGTGGTAAGAAGTATTTCAATGTGTCAAGAAGTTCTAGCAATTACAAATTCTCTTTTGAAGTTCCTGATACACATTCCTAGCCCAAAACGTTCAAGATCATTAAAAATGGATGCATCGATATTTAATTTAGGAAACCTTATAATTTTATATTTCAATAAATTTTTGGCTAGGCTTATAATTTTTTATATGTAATTTTTGTGGACATATTTTTAATTATATAATTTTAGTTTCTAATTTTTAATGTTATGTATCAATTGATATTTAGTTGTCTTTAATTGATGATGATGTATCATTAATTTTAATGAAACTTATTGACATGTTACATGCGATGACTCGTGAATAAAAGGTAATTTAATGTAAAATTAATGAATGTAATAGAAAATTTGGATCTTTAAATTTTTTCCTTAAGCAATTTTTGAATTTTATAAGAATAAACATACTTTAATTATCAGATACTATACTAAATCAATTAATAATAAAAGTAGTATAAATACTTATAATACTCTCTCAACATGGTAATTTTTTTATGTCAAAGAATTATAATTCATGGGAATACTAAATCTTTGGTGTCATGATTTCAAGGAATGATAAAAATTTGTTTGGTTAGTCATAAATATATACTTGTTGTCTTTCTTCAATTCTTTATGAAAATTTGTTATTCAGAAGATGATGTTTTTGAGTGTTTTAAAAACTTAGTTACTTCAAAGTCTATTGCTGAGAAGTTTAGAGTAAAATCATGCTTCTAAGTGAGTAAAACTTAGTCTTTCCTTTAAAATTTTCTTTGCTCAAATGTTTAGACAATATAAAACATGTAGTTCAAATATATATTGTAATAAACAATTGTTGTTAAGACTTCTTTGTTAACAACCGCAATCTATTAAGACTTCTTCCTTAACAATACTTGTTGGGGCACCTACACTCACAGCCACCTACTATTATAAGCCCACTCAACCAATTGTTGAATCTCTTTACTCATTCTCACACCTTTGAACACCAAATCTGGGTAAGGAAGGCTTTTTACAGAATCAATTTTTTGTGTATCCTAGCAACAACTATGGTTACAACAATCTCTCCTTAACTAGGAACTTTTGCTAAGAAAGTTTTTCACTTCTATTTCTATTACGAAAGTGTTTGAAAAGTAGAAGTGGAGATCTCTAAACATAGAGTATGAAACGAGGATTACAACTATGGAAACTTGTATTTTGATGGCTTTCTTTGATCTTGCTTACTTCAAATTTGTAGCATTGGTCTTCCTTTCATAGCCTTTGGAAT